TATGGATTGTTACAAGTTCTGAAAGAGCCCCCCAATAAAATGATTTATATATAAAAAAGAAAACAAATGCACAGAAAGAGGAGCAATGCATCAGAATATCAAGAATATTTGCATATGTACACATGCCTTTGCTGCAGATAAATGCGTGAATATGGTAGTGCATACAGGGGGCAGAGTTATGAAAACTTCTCAGACATCACCAAACACTTAGAGGGAATGAATGGCTGGGACCGGGGCTCAGACACACCAAGGTCAATGGGTAGAGCCTAGCTCACAAAGGCAGTGTCCTCCATCCTACTTTGGTGAGTAGTAACTGAGCCCCTAGGAGCTTGTGAGCAGCCGTCTAAGATGTAACCGCTGTTCTCGCCCGGTCTGGAGGAAAGGAGAGTGATGAAAATTAAGGGACACCTGGAAACAACTGGCCCAATGCACGAATGGGCCTCGCACGAGTCAGCCCGTACAACGCTGAGGCCAGAAGAACTAGATGGTGCCTGGCTAGATTACCCACTACCTGAAAGGGATCACGTGAGAAGGGCCTGGATAGAGTGGGAGAAAATGTGGCACAGAACTCAGAATCATAAAAGAGACCAGGCTTTCATGACTGGTTGGACAGAGGCTGGTGGGAACCCGAAGACTATGGCCCTTTGTCACCCTTCAGGTCTAGAGGTGAACCTATCCCTGCATCAGAATAATCAACCGATGGCGATCTCCAGGGCAGAGTTGATTCGAGGACAAGGGTTAGGGAAAGAAGAGGAAGGAATCAGACACAAGGAAGTGGGATAAGCAAGGATACCCTGAGGGGACTGAAACAGATGAGTGGAAACAAAATCTGTTGTTGTGAGGTCCCATCGAGTTGGTGGCGACCCACGGTGACCTTATGCACAACAGAACGAAGCGCACCACCCTCACAATTGTTCCTGTGCTTGAGCCCATTGTTGTCGCCCGGTGTCCATCCACCTTAGTGAGGGCCTTTACAGCCGCCCTTCTACATTACCAAGCAGGCTGCATGAGTAGCTGAACGTAAAACCGCTCTGCAAACCTTCATCTGAACCACCATAAAAAGTTTAAAAAGGC